GCTCACAGTAGAAATACGTGCAATAAAGCATGTTCACCTAGGCCTGTCTCTTATACACATCTAGATGTGTATAAGAGACAGGGTTGCATGCGTGACAGGTGAATGAGTTTGCATGCATGATCGACAGAAGAGGCAGTTTACATGTTTGACAGGCGAGACAGTTTGCATGCGTGACAGACGAGACAGTTAACATGTATGACTGGTAACTTCTGTCACAGGCGAGAATTTGCAAGAATGGCAGGCGAGACTGACTGCCACTTTTACCAGAACTAAGTGTAAGAGCCAGCATCTTGCTGCGTGGCAGCGGTTAGCAAAAAGAGGTAACAGACTGAAAAAAATATGCGTCATTTTTTTATGTAAGAGCTATTGCCCAATAAACAATGTTTTCTTATTGTTTGCGTTTGGTTCTTCCACCTTTATTCCACTTTCATAGTGCGTATGGTGCACGAAAATTCGGTACAAGTGCAGTAGGAGAGTAAGCAGAAGTGAGTCATGGCAAATAGTTAAAGGTCCAGAAGTAGGTCAGCATGACCCACAAAAGCCCAAAGTGAGTCAAACAAGTAGATCGGATTTGGGACGGGCCATGACTCACCTAAGTGGGTCATCCAGACCCACCCATTTCTCTCAGTGCACATTTAAAACATCATGACTAAAAACACATCAATGGAAATCCTTGTACTCGTACACTTAGCCAAAAGCAAACAATCTTACACATGCAGCCGGCCACTATAGCAGCCATGGACACACGGCAAAAATTCAGGAGCTTTCTCTCATGACACAAAAGCAAACCATCCGTAACATACAACCTTTAACGGCCTACCAAGCACTATTTTTATTATTAACTATGTTATAAGCAGAAAACGAACGTTCATCTTATTTATCAGGACACAGCAAATTGCAAATAACCACGAACAAGAAGCCGGGCCATGACTTAGAGCTAAACTAAACAGCCGTGTTTTACTGGAACGACTTGCCATGACAAAAAGGGTCTGCGACGCAAACAGGACTAAAGGTAAGCGTGTGATGACAGATTCGAGAAAATTGATGTATTTTTAAATTTTGTCAACTAAGCTACAAGCTCAACCCAGTTAACTCATTAGAAGTACAAAACACATAACTTTCTTGAAAGAAACCAATCAATTGTCTTTCTTAGGAAATACAGAATAGTTGCAAAGTTTGGAATATTACACATCACATGAATGTGATGCTTTACCTTGCTGTTAACTTATTTTGGTTTCGAGCCAGCATTGACTTCAATCATGTACCTCATTCTGCATATTAAAGATTAGATTGCATTTTATATTACACATTTAGATTACACTATAATAGACGAAATTAGCAACGCAATTACTAGAATATTCATAAAAAACTTTGACTACACCGTGCATGGTTATCATTTTCCAGGTAAAGTTACGTAAGAATACAATGGCGTTGAATGCTGTGAGAAACTTACGGTGATGTGGCTGGCGTTGATGTAATCGGAGTGCGGATCGATGTACGCGGCATAATCATCGATCTCCAGCAAGTGCACCCTCGTGTCGTCGTCTGAGAACAAGTTTGTATATTGCAATGAGCAGAATAGACAATCTTGGTGATGATATTCATGAAATGTTCATTCAAAGCAAGTTACAGTGATATAATCTAGTATTCGGATTTTTAAAATACTTTTAAAAACATGGACGCCAGAATGCTATACTCACAAGGTAAGTTGTTGCCGTATCTGTTCTTTTTTAGATTGCCAGCCAATGCTGCCACTCTTGTGGGTTTGTCGCGGTTCACCGGGATGCTCTGAGGTACGTATATTGGTGAAGCATTACAGAGAAAGAAATTTAATGAACTTCTTTAAACACATGATTTTAGTTGGATAGTTGGCCAATAATAACATTCAATGAAATCATCGATGCAATTAAGTTTTATGCCACAAAATTATACACGGATTTTCCAAGCCGCAAACAAGTCGGATCGATGTGTTTAACCAGCCAATGAGTACCCCCGTATGAAATTCTATAATTTGTTATTCGCCGCTACACCACTTAATATTGTAATTACGGGTTAATCGAAGCCGATAAGGTGCACATGGTATCCAGGAACGAGAGATGAGGAATTTGTTATAAAAATTTAAGTACGACTCTTAAACTCCTGAAGAATTTAGGTGAGATTTCAGATGAGACGTAACACTGTTCCTCTGAATGTTGCTGTTCCGTTACACTGTTTTTTTAATTCAATTTTTTTCGCTATTCATGGATGTAATATCTAATCATGACGGAACACCGCCATTGATAGTTGAGATATGGTCACTAAGCTTGAGTTGTTAAATCTGTACTACAATTGAGAAATTGATAAAAACGTGGTTTCGCCTGAAGACAGGAATGAAAATTCAATCTTTGCTCAGTCGAAAAGGAATCGCCGCGAAAGTTTCAATGATAACGTAACTCACAAAATATCTGTAGCACTGGCAAGACTCACTGTTGCGTCTAGGAAACGTTCTTTGGAGAAGGAGAAATAAAAAAGTAGGTAGGCAAACATGCGGTAGGCGGTTAACTGCTTGTTTGCTTAGGTTCATTGGAAGCATGCTAGATTATTTGCAAAATATTCGCAGTGCGATGAAATCTGACCAATAGGTGTTGGTGATGGCTCGGAGTGGATTGTTTCGAATTCCTATGATTTTGTATATATGTTGTATGGAGTGTCAAACATCATTCATATATTGTACACTGTTTTTTTGAATGATGCTCAAATATGCAGTTTCAGTATTATGCTTATATTGCTCGTTCTGGTTAAAAACTAATGATAAAATAAAATAATAATAATTACGCAAAATAAAATTTTGCGTAAATATTGTTTCTTTTTTGGGGGGTACTTTTGTTTGTGAGCAGGAGGCGGCCTGATCTCTTTTGGAGTAAAACAATTAATTTGTTGATGTTCAGAACTGTTTAGGGAGTTCTGATGTTGGGATGAGTGCCTACTTCTATTTGTTTGGAGTGTTGATGCTTGGTTTGTAATTGAGTGGGAAGATTGCTTAATTAATGACTGTAAGCTCTGGTCCATGACGTGATTCGTATATGTTGTGAGGCTAAAACTTCAGTGCCCAAATTAGGATGGTTTCGTATTGGTGTTTATGACAGGGTTTGTCATTTTCAGTTCTACATTATTTTATAGGTGTCGCATTTGTCGGGTCTGGCAATGACAGTATAGGCATTGTGATTATTTTGTCACTAAATCCCCTTTTCATTGGTCCCCTTATTCTAGAGCGACATCGTAAGACGAGCACAAAATATAATTATCAAGCAATTGAATAATCGAATATCCGCCTATTATTAAAAATTTAGAAGTACAAATATTAGTAATAAAAGAATCACCTCAATCACCTCAAGATTTAATTTCCTATGAGGCAGAAGTCAGCTTCATTATGGTCCATGGGAACAAGAAACGGTCCGTAAGTAATAGAGATCCTAAGAATCACGGGGACTATAAATATTTGCATTAATGACTAAATAATAAATATTTACATGAAAATTTATTTTCAAAATTTATTTCAATTTATTTTACATTTATTCTCACCGAGAACTTGTGCTTCATGTACAGCGACCCGATGCTCTTGTTGAGGAATGTTTCGATGTTCGCCATAGAAACGGGCAAGTCGTCTGCCGGAACCCACCCGGCGCGGAAATCATAAACGTCATCATAAACTGAAATATAAAATTGCTTATTAGGCGTATACAAGGGAATCTAATTCCAGTTATTTGTTGAACATAAGAAAGCTTTAATTCAATCGATGTATGTTTCACATAGAAAAAAAAATAAAATTAGCATCTTCGTCCGCTTGCAATTTCCAAGGCCGTGTACATGACATTCAACATAATAGAGCCTCAGGTATGAATTTTTAACTCTCGTGATTCGTGTTAGCTACAGGACTGCGTATCGAGACAAACTACTGTATTTCAGAAAAGAGCTTCGAATTTGAAAAACCATTTACTAAACTCTAAATGTAATAGCCAATTGCCAGTCATCCAAACATGAAGTCATGGAGTAATAAAAAATTATATAGACGTAAACTCGTTATTCATTTGAGCGTATATATATTATATGTATATTTGTATATTTTGGATCGTCTCAGAATAGCATGAACACACCTGAGTTCGTCGGCCATTAAGTGCCGTTGAAATATGTATAATAGAGCATTATTAAAATGGGTGGTGTTTGGTCTGTATTTGCTAAGAGATTTAATAAGTAAAAAATAATAATTTTATGACATGAAAATTACCAGCAGATTCTCTGCAGTTTGCAGCTCCCTGTTGTTGAGCATCTCGCTGCTGTGCGTTCTGATCCTGCCGCGGATGTCGGGCAGGTGGCAGCGCTGCTTGTTGACCAGATTATATCAATGACGTATTCATTTTGAACCTTCCATATCTAATTATTTCTTTTTTATTATGACAGAGTATCAGTTATAAATATATTCAGTTTGATGCACGTAGTGACAAGCTACAATGTCGTCCATTGTTCAGGGGTTGCGAAGTTTTACGGTATTGAGATAATTTTGTCAGACAAGGCAGGGAAGATTATGAAGCTTCCAAGCCTCAGTTATCGACGTCTGAGTGGGGACCTCATTGAAGCATACAAGAATACTCATGGTTTATACAAGGTCCCCGAAGGATCAATATAATTTGAAACAAGAACCAACACCAGGGGCCACGGCTATAAACTAAAAAAAACTGAGCTGCAACTTATCCACGCGACAATATTTCTTTTAGATTAGAATCACCGACATGTGGAACAGCCTTCATCGATTACATCGTTGGCGCTTCGAGTATGAACGCCTCATATACCTCATTTCATCAGGCCTACTCTTCAGCGCCATCACTATGCTATGTTATGTTACGGTGAATCAAGTTATCGGAGCATTAGTACGAACTCATAATGATTATCAAATATCTCACAACTCAAAATAGTCAACAAGTAATTAGTTTATTTGCAAGAAGTTACATCCTACTGTATAGCGAGAACATTAAAATTGTGATCCTGCCAATCGAACTTCAACAGTTAACAATTATCTCAAGTAAGGCGCGCGCTGAGAGGTCAGAGTAATTCTATCATCAGCTTGCACTCCTAGTTGGCATATTCCATTTCGATAAAAATGCGAACGTAATATTGAAAATCTAATGGTATACAAACGTAGATTGCGGCATTCGTCTTGTAAAGATGGGCATGGTGCAATGTAATGGTTCGCGATGTACCGTCTTTCAAGTTTCGTATGTGAAAGGTTGCTAACTAAAACAATATCTGGCACGTTCGTGCAGATGTTGGGAGATTAAAACGCTCGAAGCACGTTTAGAAGAGTAGAATAGCACATTTAAAAAAGGTGTAGTAGCATATTTATTTGTGCATTGGGTTCATTGAAAAGAATATTGTTCAAGGTAGGTTTTAACTGGTTAAAGAAAAGTTGATAAGAGGATAAAAAAACATGGTCAGCATCATTTCTACCGGTAGCATTGCGTAGAGTGACTTGATGAACTCATCTATCAAACTCTTCTAGACTTGTATAGGTCTGCATAGTAAGATTTTTTGCTGCATTGCATGCGGCGAGTCTTGCGCACGTACGTTGTAACGGAAGGGTGTCGGGAACCGGAGGCCGCACAGGGACTTGGAGTCTACGCAGTTTTTTGCGCCACTGGAAGCTGGACCTGAAAATGGAAGGAGAGACCATGACCCAACACGTGGCATCCTTGAAACACGCACAGTTGATTTGGAGCGTGAGGTGTGCACGGAGCAGGTAAAGATATACTACGGGTAGAGTTCAACAATTGATGCAGTATTCAATAAGTCATGCATTGATTCATCATATTAGAAGGTTCACTTCTAACTTACGGTCTCAGTCAGTAATGAGGAAAATATTCAGCTATGTTGTAACGTTAATTCCATGTATCCCTACCGTGTATGATCTATAGCAGTTTTGATACATAAATAAAAGAACTTACACCAGAAGACCGACCACCAGCACGAGGATCACCAACCCGAGGATCATGCCAACGGTAGCGCTTGCTGCCATTACGCTATTTCCGCCAGCGATGATGAGACGGTCTAACTTTTCTAAGACGAATTCTTCTTCGTCTGTGACAATATAGGAATAAATAATTAGATTGTGCACTCATGCAACGAGCGAATTGCCAGAGAAAAGATCTCAGGCAGAATAAAATCCTGAAATATGAATATTACAGAAGCTCTACAAATGACCGAATCAGACCGCTTCAATAAAGATGCATTTTAATCAAACACTATATAAAATACTTTAAAAATATGAATGCCTAGTCGTAATGTTTCAGGCCACGCTATCTCCGCCGCCTTTTTATTCTCCATGTGCTGCACGCTTCATGATATTTCCAGCGCATATAAATGCTCACGTTTTAGACGGGCTGACATCATGACGGCGACGTCACAATATTTCCAGCGCATATAAATGCTCACGTTTTAGACGGGCTGACATCATGACGGCGACGTCACAATATTTCCAGCGCATATAAATGCTCACGTTTTAGACGGGCTGACATCATGACGGCGACGCCGTACGCATTGCTCTTAATCAGGGGGCAGTTGCTTGTGCCTGGGGCAGACTCCCCCGAGCCCAAGACGAACAATGAGGTGCCCTGACACACGCGAAATATTGAATGAATATTACCTTTATTGCAAGTAGATCATACACTAGTTGTTGAAGTTCGTGTATTCACTTCACCATTAATTAATTCAAATGTCATGCTCATTGTAAGAAGGTTATCCGTACTACTTGTCGGAATAGTACTTGTTGTAAGGCCTAGCCAGTCAAGTTAGAGCACTTTGTCTCTGGAGTCCTTGTGAGGCTGACTGAGCTATTATAGGCTGCTGTACGCTATTCTCAGGTACGGGTGAATTTGGATCAGTGCTCTTCTTTAAGTGTCTATGAATTATTGTATTTTGGATTATTGAATTATCTTTCTGCATTGTTCATTTCGACGTGTATTTATTTGCGTCATTTGTTTGTCTAGGCAGGACAGAGCGAAGTCCCTCTCCTCTCTATAGTTATAGTCTCTCTGTAGTTTAATACTCTACCAAGTAATGATCGCGATTCTAAACTGTTATTGAATAAATATAAAAACTTTATATCAATAGATTCAACCCAACATTATCGCACTCAATTATATCCCTAATTACTAATTGTACTAAGAAATCGGTGTTATGTTTACTTTAGCCACGTGTCCAGCGATGAATACAGGAGCGTTCTCAGCGCAGCCAGGCCGTGAACTGCGGCGGCGACGGTGGATTTGCATATGATTCGCTCTCCGCCATTTGTGAAATTCAGCTGTAAAATTTACTTCTTCCAAGCCAGCACTGATATTATGAACCATAATCGTGAAATTCCTGTTGTAAAAGAAAAAATTATACGACCCGCTACATTCAAACACTTTAGCTAGACTTGTACTAAAGTTATGTTTATACAGTACGTTACTAAATGGTTGCAGAAATAACTTGCAAGGAACTTTTAGATTCTGAATAGAACTCAAAATGGAATAATTAGTCAAATTTGATATTTGCATTCGAATTCAAACAAATGAAAAGTGAGACTTGATAAGAATGAAAGTTCATTGATGGATTTTGCATGATACAAGAAACCTAAATACATCTTGTTACTTGCTTACGTCTGAGCGTCTCCAGCTTCGACGGTGGGAAGTCGTAAGATTGCGATAGTGTCGTAAATGCTCACGACTTGCAGCCTGTCTCTCACCACCGGAGCCTCGAACTCGGTTGCTTCTGAGGCGTTGGTTCGCAGTGAACAGCCGACGTGGTTGCAGCACCACGACGAGAAGTCGTACACAGAACTAGGAAGAAGATCGTCCATCTGCGCGATGGAAGAAGAAATCAGAGTTTTGACTCATACCGTGCAAGGGATGATATTTGATCAATGTTCCACGTCCGAAACGTCACTCTATTTCACTATATAAATTTGACGAAGCTTCTTTGCCCGCTGCTAATTCAAAATATGACGTAGCCTATTTATGTTGACAGAAGCTGAATCATTATCCTTATTTAATCACTATCCGTAAATTGTGAACACCAATTTTTTATTTATCAGTAGAACATATATTTTTGTACTGCAAATGGCAAGGTAGAACGCGATGTATTCTCACCGAAACATTGATGTGCTGCCAGTTGGTGATGATGTCGTAAGTATTTTTTGATATGAGGTCGCCACCGTGAAAAGTTTCGATAGAACATTGTTTTGTTATCGCCAAAGACGACGTAAACGAAATGCTCAAACCCCTCGGCCTTCTCTTTATCGTCAACGTTGGCTGTTCAGGAGCTGCAACTAGCGATAGTAATTAATTGCAATTAGTGGAAAATAGCATTAACTTAATCATGTTTGCGGATAATTTTAAGCCAATCACCATTCGTCTTAATGTTGACATAAAAAATTTTCGTTAATTATTATACATGAAAACTATTTTATTGGAGAATATATAATATATAAATATTTTTCATAATATAATATTTTATAATATTATAAAATAAAAAATATAATATATATTTTTTTAGAATATAAAGATTTTATTGCGTTTATAAACGATCTGCCAGAAGCTGTGTCTAGCGTTTGCTCGATGTATGCTGACGACACAAAAATTTATAATACAGTGAAAAATACGTCGCAAAAAGTACATTTGCAAGGTGATCTTGACAGGCTGGTTGACTGGGCTGATAAGTGGCAGCTGCGTTTTAACGCTGACAAATGTAAAGTTATCCACCTTGGCAAGAATAATGAACAGCAAGATTACAGTATGAGAAGACACGGTTGCAACGACAGAGTGATGATGTCGAAGTCGACAACGGAAAAGGATTTAGGAGTTAATATCGACAATGAGTTGAAATTTTCTAAGCATATTGAAGGTCAAGTTAATAAAGCCAATCAACGACTTGGACTGATCAGACGCTCTTTCGAGTTCCTAGATTTAGAAACGATGAAGCAGTTGTTTGTTGCTGTCGTGCGCCCGAACCTGGAGTTTGGAAACGTCGTGTGGTCACCGAAATTTGAAAAGGACAAAAATTTAGTAGAGAGTGTTCAAAGACGCGCAACAAGGATAGTTCCGGGCTTGAAAGGCAAGTCCTATGAGGAAAGATTAAAGATTATGAAGCTTCCAAGCCTCCATTATCGACGTCTGCGTGGGGACCTCATTGAAGTATACAAATATACTCATGGCTTATACAAGGTCCCAGAAGGATTACTAGAATTTGAAACAAGAACCAACACCAGGGGCCACGGCTATAAACTAAAAAAACAGCGTTGGAACACATCCATGCGACAACATTTCTTCTCGCTTCGAGTCACCGACATGTGGAACAGCCTCCCTGATAGCATCGTTGAAGCTCCGAGTATGAACATCTTCAAAAACAGACTAGACGAAGCTATGCAGGAGCATATGTTCAGTCTTAAAATGCCTAGCAAATTACGGAGCAGGCAATAAGTCCAGCAGCTATCTCAATCAATCGTCAGTTATGGAAAGATCGGGTTCCAAAGGCCGGATCCCTTGTGAATCAAGTCACGAAAAGTTCAAGAATCGGCAACAGGCCATGGGCCTATTTTCTTCAACGCCGACACTTCTATTCTAATATAAACCTAATGTGTCAATTATAGAAAAAGTAACGGACAAAACTTATCCTCAAGCGCCTATTAATGATCGTCATATTTTATTTCAAATCACTGAGGGTATGCAATTGGAGGCTCAAGCTGGACTCAAGTTGAGTACCTTGAATAACTTTATTCAGCAATCGCGCGTCTAGTTCACCGATGACCAGAAAGTTTTTCAGGGGTTACTCATCCTAATTTCGCCTTCATCATCACAATATTCTAGTTTTATTCATGTATTTCATTAATGTATATTAGATAATACATGACTAGTCAATTAACAGAATTACGCATTCAATTATTTATTCATCCATTATTTATGTAGATTTAAATAAATTAAAAATAAATTAGAAACCATAATAAGAAAGCGTAAAACTGCCCTAGAACTATTGCTCACTTAAATGTAGAAGAAATTAACTGCAACTATGCAACTATGACAATCTACTACGTCTATTATCTGCAATTATGACAATATCGATACATTCTGCATAATGATTCGGCTTTATCATTAAACAATATTGTTGTTCATTACATTTTATTCAATCATTCACAACGATTTTATAATGAATAATCGGCTGAACTAACGTTGTAATATAGTTTCAATCAATTTAATCAATATCAATTATGTAGCGAATCATGATGAAAATTTAAGGCTTGATAATTAAACGCAAATTTAGCAAGCTATACAGGATAATGACGTAACTATGATACAATATTACCATGAAAATGTTCTTCTTTTAAATAAAACAAGTTTCAACTTCATAACGTTCTTAGTTTTTTATTTATTAACAAATTAAAAGGGTTACTTAATTCTGAAACACCCTGTATAAGGATTGCCTCGTACTTTGGACGAGGCTTCCCATCAGAAAGGATCTCGCCCGCAATGTCGACACGAAAAAGTTACACCAGTTTAGTACAATTTTGCTGGGTAGCCCAGTTTGCGAGGATCGTCCTCATGGCGTCCTTGTTTACCGAATCGAAAGCTTTCTTCAGGTCAACGAAGACAAAATGGAGCTCAAGTTCTGTTCGATGCATTTTTCCTGCATTTACTTGACCGTGAAGACCATGTTGATTGAGCTGCGGTCTGGTCGGAAGTTACACTGTGATTCAGGCATGTTTTGCTCCGGCTACAATGGAGGCATCTCTGAGTTTTGGTGGCCTGGCCTACTTCTCCCATATGCTGGTCAAGACCGCATGGAATGCCTGAAGTGGCTATTTCCAACGCCTTGTGCACTTCAGCAGCTGAGATCCCGTCTCTGCCGGATGCCTTGTCCATGCTTACTTGATTGCATTTGGACATCTTCAATTGTAGGAGGTGCATCAAGTTGATCAATGATGCAATTTTAGAGATCTGGTCAAGGGCCGCCTGATCTACTGAGAAAGAAAGGACGAGGAGGCGGCTGAAATGTCCTATTCACCTGTTGTTTCTGCCTTTTTGCCTTTGAGGAGGCTGACACCATCTGAGGACAGCAATGGGTATGTACCAGATTTCAATGGCCCGTAGACAGCTTTGAGGGGGTTGGAGAATTGTTTGGCATTGTTCTTGTTGACAAAGAATTGGATTTCTCCAGCACAAATTTCCCACCATTGAATTTGCATTCTTCTGATCTCACGCTGCGCCGCGGCCTTGCTCTGAATTTGTTTTTATTATGGAAGAATTTAAGGTCTTTCGGCCACTCGAGAAAGGCTAATTTATTCTTTTTGTTCTGGGGGACAACGATAGAACTGTTGTTCTTGTCGAACCAGCGAAACATGCGCATACACATACATTATAAATACTCTATATGTTTGAACGGAGAAATTGGTCCAATATTGATCCAGCATATGTGAAATCTCCATCTCCATTACACACGGAACTAGATAATATGATGTCATTGAAACGTCAGAAAGAACTAACTCCAGAATTTTAGAACTAACAAAACTCCACACATAATGATTTTTTACGACACTTCACAAGCTTAGTGACAAATGGAAGCTTAGTGACTATGACAAATGGAAGTAGTGGACTAAGAACTATGGAAGACAAATGCCTGCAGTCAACTCGGCTGAACCCAACACAACCTCCTGACTCTCACCACCCAAGACACGTTGAAGCGCTCTGCTCGCTGCGACGTCCAAGTGACGTCAGCGGTGGTGGCGGACGGCCTGAAGCTCAATTGGGGGGCCGTAGGGGCTGGCGTGAGGTAATAATTTGTATGTGACATAATTGGGAATAATTGTGACATGGGAATAATTTATGACTTTGTTATAAAACCGTGAATAATTATTGTGCTAGACCTGTATATACTCCGGGACAATTGATGCTACGATATTCTGAAATAAAAAATGTTCCAATGAAAAGTTCCTCTAGTTTATTGATGCAAGTATATAATAAAACGAGAATAACTGCTTTTTAGATAGCGGAAGGATTAAAATAATTGACGCCTAGGATATAGAGACAAAGGCAATTTCCCCTTACACTTTTCAAATTTTCAGATAATTTGTACCTAGATATTATGTTATAAGCGCCAAGAAAGTGTTACTTTGGCCTTATATGTGCGAATATTATAGGGGTTAAGTTACTTGCACGCACGAATCAATGAAACTATTGCTACGTCGACATTTTATACTCGACACATGAAATATATGCGGTTAATTGAAGCATCTACATTACAACGACCTGAAACATTTGTCCTTTGAAGTGAAATTACTAGAATAATTGGTACTCAGGCATTTAAAAAACATGGGTGGTTGCGAATTTGTGCGAACATACAAAGGGAGATTATTGGTAGTTAGACGTAATAAGCACATTACAGTGCCGGAAATGGCTATACGACCACCCAGTTTTCTGCAAATATTTTTTCTTGCACAGAAAATTATGAGATTTTAATTACACGAGGTTAAATTACGTTTAAAAACGGTTCCAACGCTATGCGAAAAAAATAATGTTATCAAAATATATGAGAAGAAATTATGAAAATTAGAAAAACCTAGGTGGAAATGGTTATATGACCAAGATATGTTTTTCCGTTTGTGGATCACATACACTCATTTTAATAGGCAATATCACCTCCTTTCGCCATAATTACCGCAGTACATCTTTTCCCCACGCTATTTACCGTATAATCCAGTGTCTTTTGAGAAATTTAATCCCAAGAACGAAGGATAGCCGTGCTCAGGTCACTCACAGATTGAAACTAGCGCTCATTTTGGTAAACATCTCTCGCCATGATGCCCCATAAGTTTTCAATTGGGTTGAGGGCAGGACTGAGCGCCGGCCATGGCAAACAGAGTAATATTCTGCTCTAGGAACCACATATTTGCTGATTTTGAGGTGTGAATCAAAGCATTGTCTTGTTGGAAAACATATGATCCCTCATGTTTCTCATCGGCAAAAGGGAGAAGTTGGTAAAACAGCTTGTGCATGTAAGCCTCGGAATCTTGTTGCCCATGTAAAATAGCTAGAGTGGATTTTCTCTTTCGGCTAAACGCCCTCCAACCCATGACCGAACCACCACAATTGCCGTTTGGAAAAAAAATTCAGGCTCACGGTCCAGTGGTGCCAATAGCATTGCCATCTATCTGGACCATAAAGATTGAACTTTTTACATCACTGAAGATAATCTTGTTCCATACCTTTACCAATAAGCAAATATTTTTCAGCAAATTTTTGTCGGTTGATAATATGCTTTTGTTGGAGCATAGGGGCATTTTTCCTCGTCATGTATTTGAATTTCTTCGAGTCATGCAATGTCTAACGGATGCGTCGTGCTGTCACATCAACTCCAGTGGCCAATTTTATAGAAGTAGAGGCTCTAGGCAACGCCTAGAGTCTCCTAAGATCCCTATTGGTTAATTTTGGTGTTGGTCCAGTGCGCTTTTTTTATCCGCAGCCGTTCGGATTAGCAAAAAAGTGATTGTGCAATGGGTTTTGAGCGTTTTATTCCCATTGCGATGTCCCGTTGGCTTCTACTGCATTTCACAAAGCCGAAAATCTGCGCCTTCTCGGCCTCAGTGAGTTTTGTCCCATTTGGTATATTTTTTACTTCGAAAAAATATAAGTGAGGGCACTGAACTACACCAGAAGTACACCAGAAAGGTCCTAAATGACGAAAATCAAGATATTCTTTATATTGCTGTACTTTTTAAAGTGAAAATATGACAGAAAGATATCAAAATGGTGAAAAACCTATCCTGGTCTTATAACCATTTCCGCCTAGGTTTTTCTAATTTTCATAATTTCTTCTCGTTTATTTTGAGAAAATTATTTTTTTCGTATTACGTTGGAACCGTTTTTAAACGCATTTTAACCTCGTATAATTAGAATCCCATAATTTTTTGTGCAAGAAAGAATATTTGCAGAAAACTGGGTGGTCGTATAGCCATTTCCGGCACTGTAATTACTAGGAATTTAAAAGCGAAGAATAATATGAATAACAATATGCAGGACTAGTCAATAGTCACATGCATGGTCAATAAAGAACATCATTGACATGTGAGAGGCATGAAATTGTTTCGATGCAAGCGCCGGTCGGAATTTGGGGATCAATTTACTGCAGTTCTACCAAGAATTCGGATAGTACAAGCAGTAACTTCAGAAATGAATGAGTCCTCAAATTTACTTTAAATACCATATCTCAATCAGCTTAAATCAAGATTTAGTAACTTAGATTTTGATAGTCAGGAGTAATCTATTGATCAAGCTGCACTAGACAAGATACCTGTATCAGTGAACTTCCGAAACATTGGTTCTGTCTTTTGACGTGTTTCCTGAGAAGGCTTTATAAGATTTGGGTAAGACTGCCGAGGAGGCTCTATTAGCCGTCACTCAGAGTAGGAAGTTAGTGCTATTGCTCCACCTAAGTAGGAAGTTAGTGCTATTGCTTCACTTAAGTAGGAATTTAGTGCTATTGCTCCACCTAAGCAGAAAGTTAGTGCTATTGCTCCACCTAAGCAGGAAGTTAGTGCTAATGCTCCACCTAAGCAGGAATTAAGTTAGTGCTATTGCTCCACCTAAGCTACGACGCAGCCGTTGAGCCACGTCTCGGTGGCGCTGCTCCGGCTCTTGCCGTCGTGTCGTCAAACCCCGGGATCTGATCTTTACTGCAAAAAAATGTCAATGATTATCATATTGTATCCAGATAAGATCATTTACTCTTGAAATTTTAATAGGACCTTAGGTAAGATATGACCATCCGGGTGATACTTTATTGCAGTCAATATAAATGCGGAAAATGTGGGAATACTTGCAGGTGAATGAATGGAAAAGCAGCACCTGACACAATTATTCTCTGTCACTTTAATATCCATGTTATAGTTAAATGGTTATCATATTGAGGATTTGAATCATGAACCAATCCCAGAGACATATTTCTCAAGGAGAGCCAGAAGTGACATAACAATGCTTATAGAGGATATCACTGAGCGGTGGCCTCACCTGTCGTCGTTGGGAAGGATTTTTCACTGAAACTGTACGATCGTTGATTTGGTCTGTAACAATTGCGACGTTTATTAGGATAAATCTCTACGCGCTATCTAAAAATTTTAATATTTATCCATTTATATTGAAGATTCCATTATTGAATACATTTCTTACAGGACACGTTTCTTGAGTGAAGCAATGTCATGTTAAGGCATCATTCATTTTATTTATGACCGCACGATTAACATATTGCATGCATCCCTCACATATATATCTCAAGAAGGTCAATTTGTACCAAAATAAGCAGTTTGCCTGAAAATAATATGATCTCAATAGTGATGTACTGCCAAAAGTTTCTATAAAGCTCATGATTTTGGACACTACGTGGATAAATTATTGAATAGCAGTCTTCAATTTCATTAAATAACAAGTATTTACTCACGGCACTTCCTTGTATTTCGACACAACGCGATTACGGATTGTGCCCACGAAGCTGTCGGTGGCCGTCGCAGATGTGAAGGCGACCGCCTTGTCCTCCCCGGACCGCAAGACGCCGGCGTGGAGGGCGGCCAGACACACCGGGGAGCTCTGCCACGTTCAGCTCGGTCAGAGCAGTAGTTACAAAGTTGAATGTCTTACCGTGGGTTCTAACATGATCGAAATTGTCTTTTGCAACTGCATGACATGTCGGCTAAGAAAAATTTAAGAGAGACATAATAGTTGTAAATAATAGTACTACAGATATTGTAAATCTTATGAACAACTATACATTTTTATTCAAAACCTTTATTCGCAGGCGTGGAAATTGAATTTACCAACGGCGTTGCGTTTACTTTGAATTTATGAGAATGCGTTCCTGGGTCGATTTTTACTTGCAATCTCATGAAACCAACAGAGCATTGAAATGATGAAAATCAAGTTCACTATTATGCTAGAACTCGGATTGGGATAACTGTACCGATATCTCAAATCGCCGTCACAAATCCACCCTTATGCTTGATCAGTCAATCGAATTGAAACCTCAATTTAAGACCATAATTTGACATCTGAACATGATTGATATTTTAGCTTCAGGTATCCCGTGCCTAAGTGACATAAACTCATTACTTTTAAGTAAATGTGCCAATAAAGTTGTCTCCTTTACTACCTTGGCAAACGCTTAAGTAAAACACCACCCAGAAATTAATATCCTTACTGAACATAATGAAAATGATAATTGGATAAACGTGATAAATAATTTGAGGATAAAGGCAAAATTTCTAGGCATAGCTTGTAACCACAGACCTGAGAAAACAAAATTAATGCCTACATTTTCAAGATTTTAGTGCACTTTAGAAATTTCAAGCCAAAACTTCAGGCGAATAACCTTAAATGTGATTGGCTATGAATTGCATTTTCTTCAGGCTGAAAGCATATCATTGCTGCCATACTGTTAATTTCTCTCACCCCGTCATAAATTAAAGTCCCTGTAACGTCTGATCCCCTGCCGTATGCCTCGGAGTAGGACTGGTTCCGCCATGTCGTGCACGAGCCCGGGCACCTGATGCAAAGTTGGAGAGAATAGTTCGGTCAATATTGTGTTCAGTGAATTATATTTCTGAAATTACTCTATTGCTTCATGAAATAGTTTGTGAGAAATTCCTCATTTCCCACCGTTAATTAGTATATATGCTAGGGTTTGTTTATAAGATCTATTATAAACCGAATTCTCTTGCTTCTAGAAACCGATTCTCTATAACTTTAGTCGAAGAATAAGTATTCCCAGTAGTCTAAATCAGGGGTTCTGCCGCGGATCTTGAGAGTCCTCATCAGCATCAGTTATCGTTTGTATAACATTATACGTGCCGCCAGTGACCACATCTGTGTTAAAATCTCGAAATCTCGGTATTCTTGACTAGATTCAAAAGACTGACATTGTTGCAGTTATCATTGCCGTTTTGCCACTTATATCAGCCATTCAACCGTACCGATTGTCAACTTACCTGCTTCAACGTTCAAGTATTTCTACCATCTTACTTTAAATCTTTTTCTCTATCCCTTGGTTTGTATGAATGTCGTTTGAATTTCCTTATGTTTATTTCTTTTTGCTCTATTAAATTCATTGATTCAATCTGTTGGGAAGTTGGACTTAGTTTAAGTGTAACAATTCAAATTAATTCTAATTCAAATCGATAAATCAAATCAAGCTATTCAAATTTTTAGTAGTTTTTGCTCAAACAGGGCGTTTCATTATGACGTCACTTGCAAAGATCACTGTTTAAATCTAAGTCTTAAGTCTTTATCTGAAATTTCTCAGGCATCAAAACTTTCTACTGTTCTAGCTATTTTTCTCGTCCAACTTCCCACCCCTTAAACTGATTTTCGCTATTTTCCTGCAATTATTCTTCATTCAAAAAGTGATCACCACACTGGGCATTTAAACCTCAGGTTTGTTGTGTGTTTTTTTCGGTTCAAATGAATGACATTTTGATCATTTATTTTGGCTGTAATTTGCTACCTCGTAATTTTGCAAGATTTATAATTATAATTTATTTTTTCTACAGTATACATTAACCCGATCCTGAAGCTGGCCGGCCTTACGTTATATCTACGTCACGCATTCGTTACGTGTTCTGTCAACCATCAACCTTCTACTTCTCTTATACCGCATTCTGAACTTTGGGATTCGGCTCTTATCGACTAAATATTTTCGCCATTACTATGAAGCTATATCATTCGAACTCAAACTCAAAATTTTGTTTGATAAATTAAAATAAAAGCTTCCTTGATTATTTCTTTAATTAACTACCTGTCGATTGTGTGAATACCTCACAAGTTCGGTCAATATTGTGTTCAGTGAATTCTATTTCTGAAATTACTCTATTGCTTCCTGAAATACACGAATTTTAATAGGCAACGTGACTTGGTCAATATTTAAACATCATCAATGGATGTTTTGGATTAATGTCACTTATTTGCTTAAATCGCAAGTTGACTAAAAATTTAAAAGCAAAGAATAGTCCACAAAAATTCATATCTCTATAGAAAACGTTTCGGAGTCCAGCTCCATCGTCAGTTCGTAGAATCTAGAACATACATAGAAAGTCACAAGTTAATACAATTGAAAGCACAGAACACAATTAGAACCTAAATTTACAAGTAATAGGGCATAAAAACCTATCTATTCACAATTTCAAGGGGATAGGAGCTCACAGCTGAATTTAAACTNGTGCCTCGCTCTAATAACTTCTGCTACCAAACAACCAAAAATATTATAACTTCAGCATTCAAGTAGTATCTACCTGTTTTTATCAATACCATTAATATTAGTTATGACTTCATTCCCCTCACCAATGACTGGTGCCGGCACTGTTCCCAAACGTTGTCGCGCACGCCTGATCAGCAGCAGGCGACTGCGCCGTTGCGGCCGTGAGGCACAGCAGCGCCAGGCACAGCGCCTTCTCAGGCACCCTCATCCCGTCGCTCTGATGACGTCACGCGTGTAACTTGCGGTCTTCACTGATACTTTTATTGAAGAATGGTTATACTGATAGAAAATCTTACATAATATCAACTTAATTGAAGTATTTATTTTAAAATGAAATTATCTGTGTTTTGTAAATAAGCTAAAACAATACAAAATAACTATTGATTGAAGATAATCGCGATGGTTATAACGAATTAGTTGCGCGTTATATAATAAAAAAAGTACTGGTATTTAAATTTCTATGAAAAAAAGAATCAACAACTTCTAAACAGAATTTTATCAGTTATACTAGAGTCATATCTTTATTTTAATTTTGAAGCTCAGCTATAAAAAAATATAAATTTAAATGCGAAGAAAATTGCACACCAATCTTTGTGGAATTTTCTTAGCTTTAAATTTCAAGCAAATTTGTTATTCAAGAAATCAAGTCATGAAGAAAAGAAGCGTAAAATTTAAATGTTCTTTATTGCACTCGAGATAAATCCCATGATGAATGTATTTAAAAGGAATTTAAAAGCAAAGAAAACGCCAAGAAAATTCACCATATCGATATTGAAAACGTTTCGGAGTCCAGCTCCATCATCAGTTCGACTAAACTAAGTTTAGTCGAACTGATGATGGAGCTGGACTCCGAAACGTTTTCAATATCGATATGGTGAATTTTCTTGGCGTTTTCTTTGCTTTTAAATTCCTTGTGAACTTGCGATTTAAGCAGACGAATGTATTTAAAATACTGCAAACAGTTGAAACAAATTTAATCACTGATCACTTTTGAGGCCCCGCGTTCGTACTAACAAAGAGGCGTCAGCGTAAGGCCGCATCTGTCGTCTGCTTGGGACAAGACTGAGGGCAAAGCTAAATTTTATCGCGCACTGCCACAGCGAGCGTTTCCGCCCGAGCCAAGACTTGATAACCACAAAATTCTCAGAATTTGGGAGAAAACAGAGATAAGTTCAAACAAAATTTTTACTCAAAATATATCAATAATTGGAAATCAGAAACAAAATAGGTTGCTATAAAATAACATCAGGCGCGTTTACAATCGTACATGAGCTCGTAAACTTTCATTTCGTTTGCGATCTCTGGAGAAGCTGTCACGTACTCGCATCCAGAATCAGTTCTAATAAACGACACCAAGACTGTGAACGGATGCTGCTATCTCTATCTCGCTCCGCATGAGCTCCAACGACGTCGAAGTATTGCACAATGATAGAATTAACATGATGCATGAGTGGAAATACGAACACCACAGAAAATGATGAACTTTCTCGAATGTGTGTTTTGTTTAGCACAAAACTTGACAACTCAAAGTCAAGTTTTGTTTAGCAGTTCAAGTTTTGATAAATCGAAAGCAGTTCTTTCAGCTGCTTCAAAAATCCTGAAAAGTTTTTACAAAATTTTTGGTTTACATGATTTGCGAGAGAAAACGAACAAAATTCGTCTTAGTCGAACCAAGATTCAGGATACGCTTCTAGAAAAGTCTATGAAATCACTCTAAATATTAATTTTAATTCAAGACATTCCAACGTAAAGAAATTGTCAGGATCAGACGTGAAATTTTCGTTGAAGATGCTATGTTTGAGTAAAAATATTTAACAGCGCTTTTTCTAGCTTATGTTCATTTCGCTGGAGCAATACGGCGTTATGAATAATAGAGCGCATGTGTGCGCGCGTGCATGATACATGCACGTCTCGTATCTCGTGTGTCTCACAATAAACTCGCCTGCCGAGGACAGATTCAGGTGGGGAGTTTGACTGGGGCGGTACAGCTGTCAAACAATAACGCTAGTAAGGGGAGCGTCTCGGTAAAAAAATAAACTTTTTTATTCAAGGACGGATCACTTTGAAACTTGGTACACATGTGTAACACAGAAATCTAAGACATTTTTTATATGTAAATTTTTCGAAGAAAATGAAAGAAAATGTTAAATTCATAGAAAACTGTAAAAAAGGGTACTCCTATAATTTTCAAGCTACAACATCGAGATACATATCATTCGATGCGTAAAGACCATATCTAGCGATTCGTCGGAGCTTTTATCGAAATTTTTATTTTTATGGGTGGGGAGATTTTTCGTTCGTTTTTCGATTTTCCCCTCCCATCCCTCCCCCTTTTTGCAAAATATAATCCACACTATTACAAAATTACAAAAAAGCTACGTTATTCTCTACATCTTTTCTTTACGAATCGAATGGTATATCTCTCAATGCTGTAGCTTGAAAATCATTGGAATTAAGAGATAGGTTTTTAAGATTGAAATTTTAACTTTTCAGGAGAGCCAAAAAACTGAAATTTGTGATCTTTGAAGGTGTAGGTTTTAATTACGCGTCGGCGGCTGTTGTGAACGAACAAATGAACGCAAAAACGTGGCTTAGGGCTCTTTAGATGCGCAATTTCTGGACCTTTAAAATGAAACTAAAAACCGGAAAAGCGAAAATTTTCCATTTTTAACCGAGACGCTCCCCTTATTAATCAAAACCGAAGCTTTCTAAAAGTAGGAAATAAGTTAAAACAACCCTTTTCTTTTTTAATTGTTTCAGTTATTAGTGTAGCTTCGTATATGTGGAATAAAACAGACATTTTTATGGAGATTTTGCCTTACCCCAAGTCATGCTCGTTGCTGTGGCCGTCACTCATTATCGGTGTTAAGAAGACGACGTGACGAACGCACGCCCCACCGTCCGGCACTTGGAGAGACGGGATGTGCTGGTGCCATTTTAGGACGAATAGATTACGGCTATGACGTAAGTAACTGCTAGCTTGTACAGAGAAAACTGTCTTATTAGAAACAGTGTATGGAATTGCGATAGGATACTTGTAGTTGTAGGAGACGGGAGACGGGAGATGTATGTAGGAGATACTTGTAGGAGACAGGAGAGGTAAGTCATTCTATAAACATGGAAAATGGTAACCGGAATGACACCAAACTTCGAAAGCGAGACCTTCAAGATTGAGACACGCCATAACGAAAGAAGTGGGAGACTGTGCAGGATCCCTCCACTACGTAACAGATCGGCGGTCAGATTTCGATCCCTGCGGGAACGATCGCTTTCCGTGGCCGGGCCGAGGTTGTTTAACGTCCTACTAAGGGATCTAAGAGAGGGGGAGTTCACCCTTGAGACCTTCAAGAGACGACTGGACGTGTTCCTGGGCACAATCCCAGATCGACCGCCCCTGCAACACTACCAGCAAGCAACAGCATCGTGCATCAGCTGGCCCAAATGAGGGCGGATGCGCGATAATCAGTGGCTGCGATCCATCGTGGCTTGGGACTGCTACGTCCCGAACAAATACTAAGGAAACTATAGATTTCAAGTCTCGAGTGACGTAATCCTGTTTAGAAATGCTGTGTATTTGTCATTATCCGTAATTCCAGTAAAAAGGTACGTGATTTTTATACGTCATGCTAGTCATGTAAGTGTCTTTTTGCATGTAAGTTATTTGCTATTATAAATAAAATAATTTATTTTTGTTTTTTTCATTTTTAAGGATTTTGCCTTAAAATGTTCAGCTGTTGTGTCACCAGCGCTGCAATGTCGCCGTGGTCTACTGTTCGCAGAGTATCTGAAAGTACCTTCAGCACAGCGGTTTCCGTGGAGCTGAGATGATTGTATGCAGACTGGAGGCAAGGCATAACATCGGACTGCTGAAGATGGTTGGTCAGCTGTCAGGCCACAACGTGTTCCAGGAGTATCGACCAAATCGACAGGTTAAAAATGGGTCCATGCGATATGGGGTCTGAAGCGTAAGGGTCTGTTTTTTGAAAGTAGCGTAATGCAAGCAGATTTTGAGTTCTTTGAAACAACACTGTCGGTGACTGAGCGTATTCAAAAGCTTGACCAGAGAAGATGCTAGGGTTTCGACATTCGTCTTTATAATAATAACATCGGATGCGGAACGCTGGTACACTGCTTTAGGCAGCGCGTGCACCGTAACGATGACATCGGTTGTGACGCTGGTGAATTCTCGCAACACAAACGGGCACGGCGTAAATGTGGCCGATGGATCGCCGGCTGGCGATGCACGCACAGCAGAAGTTTTGTGTTTCAAGAACGCATGAAATTCTTTTCAAGGCTCGCATCTCCCGAAGCATTAATATGACCTGAACCCATGAGTCAATCCAGCGAAGGTCACAAAGCGCTGTACGCCGACTCTTTGGCGCCAGAAAGACTCCCACATAGATCGGAGAGGGGTAGACGTGGTAGCACTGCGTATCTCGCCAGGTGTAGGCTGCATCAGCAGGATTGCCACGTCAGCTCGCACGGTTGACAGCCCATTGGAGCGGTCAAACGAGACCCAACAAAAATCGTTCGAGACCCAACATAAATCGTTCAGCTATGAGTCGAAGGCTCGCTATGGAACTCGAACTGTTCGTGCGAGAATGAGGTCTTCATTCGCGCAGGTCAAATCGAAGTCGTAAAGCGATAGATCGTTGACTGATAGCGCCGAACTTGAGTCAAGCCGACACAGTTGGGACGACTGCAGTTTCTTACGCAAGACATCGAAGTCATGACCACCACTGACGACAGGTTACGGTTTAGTATGCCTGCGCCAGGCAATCACTTGGCGCAATACGTTGAAGTAGTCGGAGGTCTGATATTGCGACGTAGATGATGTCATCGAGCAGAAATTGGAAGTCAGCACGCACGATGACAACGTCCAGCAATCCGCCCGCGTTATGCGTCGGTGAGGTCACGTAACAAACCATGCCGTATGAGCAGCAGGTCATTCAGCTGTCACTCTCATGGGTTGTCGACATGATCCAGTTGAATATTTACATCATCGGTGATGAAGACAAGATCGATGAGAGTCAAAAGTCTGGTGAAAACATGGCTTTATTCAATGAAAATCAGGTGACTCTAAAAGACAGCTCCGCACAAGTTCACAATAGCAGATTTCACAGAAAAAATGTCAAGCGCGGGAAAGTGCTTGCCTAAGCTGGCGACGGTCGCTACAATAAATGTTAGTGAATATATACGGAATAACATTCCTTTCCTGTGAGGTATATTTTTCACACAGAATTGAAAGTTCTCAGCCATATTTTTATCATATGAAAGAGA